GGGGGGCTTAGGGGAGGGGCAGCCGAACGATCCTATAAACCACATTATTCATACTTAATTGTGGTTAAAAATTGAACAATATGCAAACGCTAGCACACATACAGTATAATCCAATAACAATAAAAAAAAGTTATAACATTTGACAGCAATTAAAAGACAATAATTTACACAACAAAACATATTACAGTATACAAGATGAACACACTCAAAACTAATAGACATTAAAGTAAATAATTAATAAATAACAAAACATGTAATTATAACGATATTGTACTGTAATGACAAATAATTTGTGAGGATTTCAGCACAAAACGCACTATAGTTAAAAATTAACGGAAGTATGTGCTGAAGTCCACAACCAAAACACAACCACAACCGATCTATTCGAAGATACCCGAAGACATGTCCCGACTCAGATTTATGGTAGCCCGATAATAATGGAATTACACTGAGATAGTTCTCAGTGTGGAAAACACCGGGAAGTGATGCTCACAAATAATATATGCATTAATAACTGATTCTAACGCAAGAGAGTGATGTCAAAAACTACACCTTCAAAAGACGCTTCAGACAAACATCTGCCGTTGACTGTTTTTTAGGTTAGCACACTTGTGTCCCGTATCCAATTGGGTTATTCCGTCGCCATGAAAGTACCCTAACAAGGTCGGTGGCGTTGCTAGTCTTAGCGGTTGAGAGTTCCTAGTGGTGCGCGCCTGATGGCAGTTTATGGTTTGTTTGGTCCATCGTCCACCAACACTCGCGGTACAGGCAGTAAAGCTACAGGTACTAAAAAATTCAGCGCACGCCGCTGGCGGCATAGCACGCATACCGGTCAGGATTCTGGTTACCGCTCATTGAACATTGGCCATACGTGTGTTTGCCGTGCCTCACCGTTACAGTTGAACACAAAAGAAAGCCCAACTCGTAACAATATTTTGAAATTTAATTAACAACTATATTTGATATAAAAATGAATTTTCTTAAAATAATTAAACATTTAAAAAACTTAAATTTTATTTTATTCTAATTTGGTAATTAATCTACATATACAGTTTATGTAAACTATTTTTAATAATTGTTTAATAAATTCTAAGGTAATTTTAATTTATTAAAAAATTAAATTACTCTGGAATTCAAACATATATAACGAAAGTCCATTAATTTAAAGCTATGTATATTATGCATTTCAAATCATATTTAAATATATCTTTGCATTTTTTTGGCATTTAAGATCATATTAAAAAATGATACATTTTTAAAATTGTTGTAATACAGTGAAAAATTTAAATTTTTGAGATTTACAGACTGTAGATTACAGTAAACAAATTTATTATTAATCTAATATATTTCATTAACCCTCCCCACGTTGAGTGAAAATATCAATGTATCGTGTAGACTGGCACTAAAAATAGGCCAGAGCGTTGTTTATTATACTGCCTTTAACTGAATATGTTCGCGCATGCGTATTTTGATTTAACTATTTTTAATGTTATAGCGTGTAGACTGGCCATAAAAGAAAACCAGCGAGTAACGTGTAGACTGGCCTATAAATAGATTCGTTCTGTGAAAAGCATTGTTGTGTTCTACGAGAAATAAAGTTACGTTACGCGTATACTGGCCTAATAATAGTTAAAATATTAATTTAATTATAGTTTGAATTAATTTTAGTCATTAAAAATTTATAAATTTAGATTTTAATATTTTTGAGGCATTCCTAGAATAGTTTTACAATAGACTCGTTCGTTGATTTTTAATTGAATTTTAAAGGAACAAATGTCTAAAAATAGGCCAGTCTACATGGGGAAGGTTAAACTTAGTTTAAATTGAATACAAATTATTTGCCCAAAATTTAATAAGTAGACTAATCATAATTAAAAATTTACTATTATTAAAAATATTTAACCAAAATGTATGTCTTATTGTTGGGTAACTTTCCAAAAAGAATTTGTTTAAGTTTGATTGCGAGTTGCTATCGCCCTTTCGACCGTAAATAGTGTTAAACTGAATGAACAGTTTGGTTCGTAAACCCGCTACACTGGCCAGTGATTATCATGAAAGTTTGTCATGGAATTAAACATTTATTGTTAATCAATCATTTTACATACGGGGTACCCGATTTACACTTGTCTGTTCTGACCTATAACCGACATAACATATTTCTTTAAGCTTTTCAAAACGGGTTTTTCGAAGCGGTTTGGTTATAAGTTTTAAACGGAATAATGCAAGCCGGAAAATCATTAAAAATTATTTAAAATGATAGATTAACAATAATTGTACAAATTCCATGACAAAGTTTCATCCTAATAACTGGCTTGTGCTAGCGGATCCACGAACCAACCGATCAATTCAGTTTTAACACTCATTACGGTGCGGCGGCGATGGTGATTTGTAGTCAAACTTAAACAAATTATTTTTGAAAAAATTAGCAAACTATTAGACATAAATTTTGGTTAAATTTGTATAATAATCGGGTACTTTTAATTATGCTTAGTCAATATATAAACTTTTTGGTAAATAATTTTTTTCCATTTTTCATTCAGTTTATAAAGAAATTACTGTATTGATAATTGAGTTGTGTAGGTTATGTTCCAAATAGAACTAATGTCATTAAATCATCATAAATCGTTTAAACATCATGTATTATAATATTTAAAAATCTATTGTTTTTAGATTATTTAAAATTTCTTATTTTAATTCCTTTACAATCTTATCGGTAATCACAAAATCCGCAAAATCAGTGAAATTTGAATCGGTGTCCACTTTAATTATAAAGACAGTATGGTTTGAATCCTGATTAAATTAATTAAAAATTAACAATAATTAATTTTTTATCATCGTTAATAACAATGATTAACTTTTGAATAAATTTAAAAAACTTTGTAGATTAAAACACAAGTCTCTCTCTCTCTCTCTCTCTCTCTCTCTCTCTCTCTTATTCAAAACACACACTTTCTCTCTCTCTCCCTCTATCTCTCTCTCTCTTTCTCTCTCTAACAGCAACAATGGAATAAATTAAAATAAAGAAATTTTTATTAATAAACAAAACTTACATTTTTATTTGGAAGGAAATACTTATCACGTAACATTTCCGCATATTCGTCCGCATCCTTAACAGATTCAAACACAAAAGGTTTAATAATAACCACTTTCCCCAATATTTTCGACCACTTTTTCCCAACCGTTAGTTTCAATCGATTGGAAAATGTTTTTTGTTTTGCAGATAGATATGTCGAAAGCATACGAATTCTGTCTATCATTGTGTGCAAAATCTCCTCCATATCTGTGGTCACCAGTCCTTTGCCCGCAAAGTCTATCATTTCGTTCACTATGAACTTAATTTTTGCGTTCACATCCGTTTTTTGTTTTAATTCACGCATTAATTTATCATTGTATGATTGTGGTAAGTTCTTAGTTATATATTGCAATATAAATTCCATGATTACAGTATCGCTTAATGGCTCGCTATGCCTGCTATCAATGACATCAACTATAATGGCTTTTCCTACCATACCTTTTAACACTAGTTTAACGCATGCAATTGCGGTATCGAAATATCCCACTACATCGTATAGACCGCTTGGCTCAAGTCTTTTCAGTAGCTGTAAATAGTATTTGTTGATGTCTTTAATCGTGTTCATTTTGCTTAACTCCCGGGTCCAATTGATACCAATCACTGGTCTATCAATCGTTTTGGCAAATTTCTCACAATCAGAAAAATTAACCATTATGGGTGGCATGACATACACGGGCACTCCATTGCAAACATTATTTAGCCGTACGTGTGTTTCGCTGGGAATAACAAATTTAGTTGTTAAAAAACGCTCCTTGGCTTTCTTAATATTATCTATATGCTTTTTAATGTCAACCATATTTCCAGCCGCATAGTCTTTCATCATTTTAACCGTTATACTTTTTATAGCATTTAACGCAAAACTTTGATTCCATTCCCTCTCCATTTCCTGCTGCAACTCCACGGCAAACATGGATTCAATGCCTATTTCGCCGAGAGTTAGATCATTAGGGGTTGTGTTGGGATCGATGCCTAATGATCGCCAAAATTTGTTTGCAATATGTTTGCTACGATTGTCGATTAAATCTCCTTTTGTTGTTTCCTTTTTTACCTGATTTAAACATTTATAATTTAATAATATATTTTAAATATAATACTTTAATTTACATATGACGTGACAATTGGTTGTTTAATTGCCAACAATTTGTCCAAAACATCGCAACACGAGTTTATTCTTTGCTTTCGCATTGTTGTGAATTCCATCCACTGATCGCTGCCTTCAAGCACTCCCACATCACCGATGGGTCCGTATTGTATTGCGAGTCCGTGCAGACCATCCCTACGCCTCTCTTCACATATACGCTCACACATGGAGTTTCCGAACGCATAGTTCGATTGCCCGGCGTTTCCTTTACCACAAGTGATAGACGAAAATACCACAAAATAATCTAATTTATAGTCCAATTGTCGGGTCAGTTGATCCAAATTTGTGAAGATCTTGTGTTTTGTATCAATAGATGAACAAAACTTTTCAAACGATAGCTTTTCCACTAAACAATCATTCAATTCAAGCGCCAAATGAAATATACCTCCAATGGGTGCCAACTCTTTGGCCTCATTTAACAGTTGTTTTGTGCCTTCGATTGTCAATCCATTAGCAGTCGAGACAATAAATTGAGACTTAAAAAACTTATATTCTTTCCACATACTGTTAAGTCGATTGTAAATAAATATCTGATAATCAGTCTTAAGGCCAGACCTGGAAGTGACCACAAATTTTCGTGCTCCCAATGATTGCATCCATGTAATCAATTCCAGACCAAAACCACCCAAACCTCCGGTTATTATATAAACTTTGTTTGCGTCAAAGTATGTCTTAACGGTTACCACACAATTGGGAACCGATTTTATATCCACAACTGACTTTCTCTCATTCTCTTCGTCTCTCATTTTAATGACAATCTTTCCAATATGTTTACCGGTTGTCATGTATTGGAAAGCTTTCTCCGCGTCTTTTGCAACAAAGCATGTGTAAACCAATGGTTTTACGCAACCATTCATCGAGTTCTTGTGCATCCATTTATAAAACTCTGGTAAATAACCATGATCATACATCATAACAGCATCAATCGCAACACCAATGAATTGAATATCACCAACAAAGCCATACATTCCCAATTGTTTATTTTGAAACATGTCATACTTTCCGATCTCTACGAAACGTCCGCTAATCGCAAGACATTCAAAACCTGCGTTTAGTTTCTCTCCGACCAATGAATTTAAAACAACGTCGACTCCCTTTCCTTCTGTCGCATCCATTATCTGATTCTTGAAAAGTATATCTCTTGAGTTGAATATCTTATTCTCCGAAATATTGTATTCATTAATTAAAAACTGTTTTTTCTCTTCGGAGCCGACCGTCGCATAGATATCGCATTCATAGTGTTTACACACATTGATAGCCGCCTGACCCACACCTCCCGCTGCAGAGTGTATTAGAATAGTTTCGCCTATAATGCAAAAAAAATAATTAATATGATTTATGTTAATATTTATATTATTTGAAAAATATATAGAAACCTTTTTTTATATAAGCTTTTTTGATGAGCCCGTAGTGAACAGTACTATATGTGCTCAACACAGTCACCGCCTCTGCCATTGACCAGTGCTCGGGAATGTTAGTCATATATTTATCGATAGCATTAACAGAATTGGCAATCGTACGACCCAACTCCATACCCATAACCCGTATCCCGGTGTCAGCACTACGGCCCACGTATTCAAAGCCCAGAACACAATCGGAATATATTTCTTCCACTCGAAGTGGAATACGACCTGTTATTAAAAAATAAATATATTGAATTTAATATTTTAAAAACTATTTGTTAATTTAATATTGTTGGAAATAAAATCCATTACACTTTTGTTTAAATAATTATAATATATTAGTAAAAATTTAAAAATTTCAGATAAATAAACAATCTATATTAGATATTGGTTATAAATATTGGCCAGACTGTGTTGCCGATAAAAATGGCTGTTCTGTGAATGAAATTATTGAGTGACGAAATTTTATTTTGTTCAGTTTTGTTAGTATTATTAATATATATTCATTTATTTGTTCAGTGCTCATATAAATATTATTTTATAAATTATAATTGCAATTATATTTTACCTGTGGCAAACATTATATCTCTGAATGTTAATCCGGAATAATAAACATTAACTTTATGTTTGATTATTTTTGTGTTATTCGCTGAATAAGATTCGCTAATATTAGAAATATTTCGGGAATCAAACCATTGAAGAGAAGCTAAATCACGTGTTTGTCCCAAATTTAAATGATATTCATTAGATTCAATTTTATCGTAAACTGCGGGAAGTGTTATGTATCTATAACTTCCCACTTTTTCTCCTTTTATAACATTTGCGACTAAATCGTTGGCCAATATTTCAGAATAGGTTTTAGTATTGAAATCAATGTTAGTGTCAGTATTGGTGTCCAAATGGAAGATATACCGGAAGTTTTCTCCTCCCGGTTCTAATCGCAAACAATTCATTAAACCTATGATTCCGTTAATACACGAGTCATTTGCCACAAGCCATACGTTATCTGTTCTATTGTTTGCATCTTTTGCTTCAGTTAGTTTTTTTTGCAATAGTCCAAACCATTGCTGATAATCACCGCTTATATTTATTATGTTATTTTTATCTGGAATTTTATTATCACTTTTAACTTTTCTAAACAACAGACTTTGAGTTGCGATTGAATCATATTTACTACAGATTATATTAAGATTTAATTCACTACAAATAGATTTAAATGCTTGAATTCTTTTGTTAAGTAATTTATCGTTTATCATTGCTTTTCCCGTCAAAGACATGAACGCTTTCTCAGGTTCCGTTAATTTATATCTAAATATACATAATAGAAAACCATTGGGTTGAAGGCAATCACAAATATGTTGAATAAACGAATGCAAATCCATTTGCCACAAGTCTTGTGTGTCTTTCAATATAACCAAATGTGAAGATTGTAATGCAATATCTTCTTTAGGATCCCATTCAGTAGCCATACTTTTATGAACATCACTGCAATCCTGTTTTGATTTAACTACAAGTTTATATTCGATGTCAAAATATAAAACTTTGAATTGTGTGATGAATTTATCCACTTCGTCAACCAATAGATTGGAAGTCAAATTTATTTCGGTTACTTTTAATTTTTTAGTTGTAATAAAGTTATCGCAAACAATATCAACGAGGGATCGAATGAGGCGTTCATTCTTCTGGATCTGATTTATCATATCTTTACTCAAATCGTATTCCGGTTTGTCTTGGATTTCATTCAATACTTCATTCATATTTTTTTTATTCTTATTTTCATCATTCATTTCATTAAGCATTTTATCAAATATGCGAAACAATACATGATTTTCTTTGTTTGCCATTTTATACTCTTGTATAAAATTCTCATTAATAGTTGAATAATTAAAAGTGTCTTTATTTTTTATAAAGCCAATCTTCATCATATTAGCCACCATTGATTTGCAAACCTATTAAAGTATTTTATTATTTATAAAATTTCATTGTGGGAAGGGAACAATTGTACAATCTTTTAATTAATATTTAATGTTTTTACCTCAATATACTTTGTGATGGAGTTGTAATCATTAACATCGATCGCAGTTAAATCTTGATTTGAGTAAAACTCATATGATTCTAACACAAGATTCTCACCTTCTGTGCGACGCTGTATGGGATGAGTAATAAGTCCCTCCACTTCCAGGCCGTGTGCGATTAATCGGTTGGATTGTCTATTGAAATATATAGGCATTTCTGCCACAAATATACAGAAACGGCGTTCAAACCGATCGGTTTCACTATTTAACTCTTTTCTGGATTTATCAATATAATCAACATGATCATGCTCCGGTATACCACTACCCGACTCAAAAGTTTTCATAGTTGCATTATCATTACCATGATAGGTTAACGTACGGTTTTGTTTTAGAGCGCTAAAGAGTACTCTCGGGTCAACTCTAACTGAACGGATCATCACCGGAACCATTAGTATACGAAAAGGATTAGAAAATGCCATCGATTGTAACATTGCGTCCAAATATGTGACAAAATTTCCGTCCCATTCATTGATGCCATAAATCTCACGGAAATTGTTGGTCTGAATTTGTTTAAGGCGTTGAAAGTATGGTCCGTAGTCAAGACCCAGGACTCCCAACTCTTTATAGATGTCTTTCCTGTCCAGTGAGTACTGAGTACTGATCATCAGTTTCTGTCTTTCAAGTATAGCGTTAGGCGTGAGTAACACCTCGTCATCCGGAGTCCGCACTTTCCCCACAACACACACGTTATCGTTCTCTAAGACACAGAACTCGTCTGTTGAAGTAATATGAGAGTATGAATAACATTGTAATTAGTTAATATATTATTATTAATAATGATTATTAATACAAACCCGTTTGAGCAAAATATCGCACAATAAGAAGATTTTCAGCCGATTCATTTAGAAATACGGGTCGTTTAAACTGTACGTTTTCAAATATGACGGGTACATCATACCAGAGCCTACCCAAACTTGTGGATATTTTACGCCATGCGAGCATTAGAAAACCTGTCGCTGGGAATAATGCTTTACCATCAACACAATGATCCAAATAAAATTTATGATTTTGATAACTAGGGTCAAATTTGTAATAGGAATCACTAGCAGTCGATCGATTGTATTTCTTGGGATATAAAACAAAAGGAATTTTTTGTATATGTTCCCATCGAAACAAAGAACTAATTGATTGTGTATCTCGTACGACTGGCCACTCTACACGTGAATACAGATTTTCAATAAATATATTAACGCCCGACTCGTACAAAGTAGCCAATCCATTTAATAGAGTTTCCAAATTAGTATCGTTTGAGTCCTTTTTAATGAGTGATACATACAAACATTTGTCGAGAGTTTCGGTCACTATTTTGCCAAACACTGAATGCGGACCCAATTCTAAGACAAGTGCATTTGAAGGTAATTCTTTTAATCGGTCGTAAAACTGGACCGGATTTAGGAGATTGTATACGAAATACTCGGCCGAAGCATATTTCAAGATCTCATTGTTGGGATCGGTAGTCATGAGTGAAGTGGACACCCATTTCCGGGACCGAAGTCTCGGGTTTGGTATATATTTCTTAATGGCTTCAGTCATAGGCTTTGCAGATGTGATCAGATATTGTGAATGATATGGGATTTTACTGCTCTCTAACTGTCGCACAAATACTGTCTTTTCTTTCAATGTTTTAATCAATTTTTTCATATCATTTATTGGACCTAAAAAAGTCATTTGAATATTTAAATCATTCATTGTGTAATCAGCAAATTATTTATTACCAGAAACAACGACACTATCCTTTGCATTATTACAGACAACAAACACACCGTTTGGACACAACTTGATGGCCTCATCATTGGAGAGGCCAACGACGGCCATTAATCCTTTAGGTATTTTGTGGTCATTTTCAGTGACGGCTCCCCTAAAATACGTGACGACCATTGCATCCCTTGTGGTGAGACACCCGTCAGCGTAAGCACAGGCTATCTCTCCAAACGAGTGGCCAATTATACCGTCGGGTGTGATGTCCAGCG